CAGGGAGTTCAGACTTGAGTCGGGCTTGAGGCTTTGGCTGCTTGTCTGCCTTGGAGGGCTTCTCCGGAACTGATGGCAGAAATCTGAAGAGACGGGACAAGGAGAGTCTCAGGGAGCAGAACCTGAGCCCATTCCTCTGGGCTGGGCTCACAACCTCTGCCCCTGCTGCTGCAACTTGGGGAAGTGCTGCAGGAAATCCATGTGGCCAGCAAGAGACCAAAGGTCCTTGCGATAATCCAAAGCCTTTCAGTGTGATGATGGGCAGCGTGGCCAGAGGAGAGATCTCACTCTCGCAACGACAGGAGCACAACGTGTGTTCACCTGCCCTCACAGCCCTGATCTCTGCCGTTTTCTTCCAGGATCCTCACCTGCCTTGGCCACCTCCAATTCCCTTAAAGTCGTCGCTTTCCTTCAATGCCAGTTTGGCCAGAGAAATCCTCCGTTGAGCCAGAAGGACTGGATCCAGCAGGCTGACTGCAAACAGGAATCAAGAGACTCTTCAGAAGTGTGTCTTTGTGCCTGTGCAAGCAGGTGTAAGCAATGGAGCTGCTTGGTTGTGCTGCACGAGTCTTCAGAGGCTTCTTCCCCTCAGGCTGTCTTCCTCCTCAGCTTCCAGCACCTGGCTTCCTTGAGCTATAGAAACTCCTCCATTTCTAAAACTCCTGGCAGATGTTGCTAGTTAAGATGTTGAGGCCTTCTGCTCCATTTTGACTCCTGTTATTGCAATCACAGCCTCAGACAGAAGAGCAGGTGGCCCTCTACATGAGAGAAGGGGGTCCCCAGGGTAAGTGCAACTCAGAGTATCAACACTGAGAGCATCAGGCATCAGCTGCCATTGGGAGTGCTGGACTGTGCCCAGAGCACCTACTGGGAAGAATCATTAGAGATTTACCATGACATGTACACAGAGTCACCCAGGTGCGTTCTTGTGTCCCTTGCCTTGGGAAATTGGAGCCTTGGCTTTTCCTCCCTCTCAAGGATGAAAGGAGAAGGCACAACACCTGACAGAAGGGTGCCGTGACATTACCTTTTCTGTTATGGGGCTCACCAGGCACCACCTCCTCCCTGGGCTTGACAGAACGTGCATGGAGCGAAGATTTGCCTGGGAGCTCAAGGGCAAACCTGGAAAGAAGAGGCTCATTTGAACAAAGGGCAACATGGTCCCTTGGCTGCTTGCACTGATAGCGTCTTTACTGAGAGCCTTTCGAGTTCCTTGTGCCCTCATGGAGTAGGTAACAATAGTGGGATCTGAGGGGTGCAGGGAATGACAGCAGAGCCCGGAGGGCCACACCAGTTTCCATCAATCTCTGGCAGTGCTTCCCCTGCTTTGTTGTGAGAGAGCCAATTCCTTCTACACAAGGGCTCCTTGGTGTCACTGGAGAGCCTCCCATGTCTTGCATTCTGTGTCCATTGAGAACACACCAGCCCCTTTTTCTGCCCTGCCCCGGCTGTGGAGGAGAGAGCATGGAGGCAGCTAGAAGCCTTGTCTTGCATAGAGCTGAACTGGAGTAGTTGTGTGAGAAGGCAAGAGGCAAGTCCTGCCAAGAGGATGTCCCATGTCTGAGCTGAGAAGCTGCACTGTGGGGCAGCTGGGGTTGCAGGAATGAGTCTCCTCACCTTGGCAACACGATGACGCCATCATGACTGACCCGAGGAAAGTCGTTTCGGGTATCAAAGGTGACGACATCCGTCATCTCTGAATCCTACAGCAGGACAGAGCCATGGGAGGTGATGTCAGGAACATGTGCTTGTCGCTGTCAAGGGCGGCCTCCCTTTCTGCTGCTCAGCGAAGGAGCTGCCTCTTGCAAAGCCTCCTACTACCTTCTCTTCAGCACTGCACAGCCCTTACTTGAACGAGCTGACACGCCACCAAGTGGTGGTGTCGCTCATGAAGAGTGTGGCCAGCCCAAGTGTTGAGCTGGATGGTGGCACACCAAGAGAAACCTCTTTAAGGAAGCTTTGTCAGGAGTTTCAGAGAGCTCCCTATACCTCTCAGAGAAATTAGAAACTCACTGCAAGAAGAGCTGGCATCATGTTGCCTGTGGAATCCACCTCCATGAGACAATGATCAAAAAAGTTCATGGTGACCACTTGTCTTCGTACGGCAAGAATGCCAATATCCTTGAACACCAGTTCAACCTCCTTGCCTTCTGCCAATGCTCCAGAAAAGAAAAGCAGAGTCTCTTCTATGCAATGCTGCACTGCTTCTGACAGGAAGCCGGTATCCTTTGCTATCTGCTCATAGTTCAGCTGCACAACCGGGATCTCATCTAAAACACAAGTAGATGGAAACCAGTCACATCCAAATTACTCAGCTGACTCATATGTTCTGGACCTTAGCAGCTCACGGCCATCAATATAGTGCCAGGGAGTCCCATATAATCCTGGGAGACATCTGCAAAAGGGAGCCCATGGGCCCCGATCTCTTGCAATGTGTTCCAAGGTCTCTGCAAATAGTGAAATGAGGCATACACGGGGTGCACAAGAGTGTTCTTCTGCCTTCTTACCTGGAATGTCCTTCTGAGCATATTTGAGCTGGTAAAATCTCTTCAGAAACCGGCACACCTGGAACAAGGGCCTTTGAACAACCAAAACTTCGTCCTTTCCCACACTGACATGGTCTTTGACAACTGCAAATGTCCCAATTCCGATGCTCACCGCCTGGAAAAACAAGCAGAGTACCCCAAGCAAAGTAAGCACCTTCTGTGGGGGAAGGCTAGTGTCTCCCTTGGGTGACCATGGCATGGTGCTTGGGGCCGTGGCTGCTCTAAGAGATCCAAAGGGCCTTTGAAAGCTCAGGGCAAGACGCACTGTTGCTGGGTACTTCCCTCCTCTTCCTCATCTTCCTCCTCGCTCCCAGAAGCACTGCTGAGGCAGAAAAGGCAGAGCAAGTGTCCCATGGCTAGGTAATGAGCTTGGTGGTTGGGTTCAAAGGACCCAGGGCTTTTGCTGGCACCTTGCCCCTGCATCAGGCGGGCAGACGCCTTTTTTCCCGTCTCTTCTCGAGACCGTGTGCTGTGGCCAGCGCCTCAGCGCGTGGGTGCTCTTTGGCTTGGGGTGTGGGGCAGACTGGGTCTCTTAAGCCTCCTGTCTCTTGTGCTCTTTGGGGAGGGAAAAGGCAGTGCACGCTACAGAGGTGGGGTGGGCATCAGGGCTCCGGAAGACCTCCTGGGACCAGTGGATGAGCAGGATGCAAGGCTCACATTCTTCCGCAGCAGTTCTATTCTGAGGGAGTAGCACGCACTAGCCCAGATCTTAACGATGTCTGCAAAGCAAACGAAAGACCTGTCATGCTTCGAGTGAGCCCAGCCCTGCCCTGCAGCACTCTCCTAAGGAAGGAGGCAAGAGACAAGAGCACAAGAGTCCCCCACTGTGGCTGAGGACAAGCACATGCATGGCTGGGGCATCGCGGCCAAGCTTTTCACAGCTTGCAACCTAGGGGATGCCCTGCACTGAGCTGAGGGAAGTCTGGGGAGTGCCCACACGCACTCTGCACAGCCCCATCAGCAGCTGCAGCTCCTTGTGCTGCTGGGGGCGCCCAGTCCCCACTGTGGTGCAAGCAGCAAGCCCGTCCACCACACTTCTGCCCAGGAGTGCCCAGGGAGCCAGGGCACCATGTCCGAGCTGTCAGCAGGAGCCCTGGGCCAGGAGGCAGTGTCACGAGGGGCTCAGTGCCAGACTCTCCACAGAGTCTGGGTGCCTGAACACTCCTGTAAGGGCTCTTAAGAGCTTTACCATTGGTGCTGAGATGCTTGAGGGTTGGAAACTTTTCAGGCCCCAAGGGCGGATTGAGGACCAGGAAATTGACCATCTTTGCCACCCTCGCTTAAGTTCACAGTGACAGGGGACAAAGACACTCTGCTGGTCCTTCGGGCAACCCCTGCGCTGCTGCAGCGCTGGTGGAGCAGAGCGCTGGTGACAGCAGGCCCTGATGTCACCCAGGCCTTGCTGCGAAGTCTGGCTGGTTCCTGTCGGGGATAGAGAAGTGTCGCTGTGATGTGGGCACCCCACTGTGACACCCACTGTGTCACAGAGGGCTACCAGGACCTGCAGGCTTGCAGACATGGGCAGGTCTGGCCCCTTTGGGCCCACTGGAACAATGGAGAATGTGCCCTCCTGCCCTCACCTTCCCCTACAGAGGCTGTGAGGCAGGGAGTGGGTCCCTAACCTTGGGCTCCCCAGTGATACTGACTCAGTTGTATCTCCAAAGTGGGGCACTGGGCTATGATTATGGGCAATGGGAAGGACAGAAGGAAGGAAGGAGGAGCAAGGCTGCCCCTGACCCTGGTCAGCCTCTGGGAAGGAAGGACTGAAGCTGCTTGGCATTTCCCCAGGCCATGGACATGTAGCCAGGCCAACAGGGAGAGAGAGCAGAGAAAGAAAATTCTTGAAGATAGAAACCCAACACAAATGCTATTAAAAAGAATTAAAAAATCACCAAGCCATATGAAGCATGAATAAACCAAAGCATAAATCTCCCTTATGCCAGCCCAGAGGCACACCATCCTTCACCAGTCCATTGAGCAAGGTCTGAGGCTACAGCTGTGCTTTGGCAATACTGGGTCACTTGCTTTGTGCTTAGGTGTCTGGAAACACCAGAAGTTAGCCAGCTTGAGGTCTGAGCAGAAACCCGAGCCTTTTCAGCTATATAAACAGAACGAATGAGTTCTGTTTCCACCTTACGAGGAGGAATCATAGGAATTCCTTCATTTAATACATATACCTGCTAATCCAGGGTAATGCTGTCTAGTTGAGCAGTTGCACAGACCTGTAAAGCAATGCTGGAATTGAATTACCTCGGCACTCCCTGCAACTACACCCTTATAAACAATGCATGGGGCCTTGGTATTGGCACACAAGAAGCATTTGCAATACTCCCTTGAAATCCCCGCTCTGTTCATGTCATGGCTAGCTCAGATGGGGCTCCCTGTCTAGAAAGGGAAAATTCAGAACTGCAAAACAAGGTATGAACGTGGGAAAAGATGACAAGTATGCGCAAAATGTCCCTAAAGGTCGCCTCCTTCTTCCTCTGCACCCTGATTGCACCTAATCTCACAGGTAAATGGTTAAAATATTTCCAGCTGACTCTCAGAAGTGCTAGGAGTTGGGAGGGGGACAAAAAGTGTTTCTTCTTTAATTCTGCATATGCAAACTTAAACCAAATACTTCAAGATCAAGTCATCTTGAATTTTAATTCTTCATTAAAAACTAATATTAGAATAAGCAAATGAGAATCCATAAGTTGTCTTCTACAAGTCAGTTCTGAAATCTAAAGGAAAAAATGTATTTTAAGGAAATTAACTTACTAATGCTGTTTTTTCCCCTCTGTTCTCTGAGAGGTTGAACTTGCAATTCCTCTTTAAATGCTTATCACTTTAAAAATAGGGGATTCCCTACCTGTGGCATGAATCTAGGGTAAGAAAGGAAGGTTTATAAAGTTTTAGTTATTGTTTCAAAAATATTCACTGGTAGTTATGGTTATGTCTTTCCAAAGGTGCCATCTTAACTCCTGAATTCAGGTTGTCTTGCCGCTTTTTGTTCTCTGCTTCAGAAAAAAATAATATTATAGCTTTTCTGACCAGCAAAACCTTTTAAACAAATGATTTATAGTTCTTAGTTGCTACACAGGCAATCACTGGCTCAGTTTCAATGTTCTCAGAACTGATATTCATCCAACTTTGTCTTCCACACTGTGGCAGACCACAGGAAAGAAAGCTAAGATAACTTTCCAACAAGCCTTCTCCCAGTCCACTCACCTTCACCTGAAACGTGAAGACCTATGTCTCCTTGTCTCCTTCATTAGGGTAAAGAGCATTTTACAGTGGTAGGTTGTCTGTTGTCACCCAGAGCAGATATGAAGCTAGATCACAGTACGGTTCCTGTCAAGCCCGGGCATCTGGGCTTTGTGTCGAGGCTGCTGGAAGGAAAAAGGGGCAGGTCGATATATGCTATGATCTTGCCTATGGAGTCGGTGCTTGCAGCTGGAACATAGGCGATGGTGTTCCCAGAGCCTCAGGGTAAAGGTGGCCAAAGAGCCTTGTTTTAATGCCAGCTAGAGATTAATGGAATGTGGACTTAAAGTGAAATGGATATGATTTTTGAAAAGTTTGAATGAAAAAGGTAATCATCTTTCTTCAACAGACATTATGCTAGAGCAGTTACCTTGTGCCTAGGAAAGTACTGAAATGGCCACTGCTGTCCTAGACTGGTCGGAACCACTGCAATCTTCTCATCTGCTGTCTCTATAGTCTTTTCTACCTTGGGAACTATTCACTGCTGAGCAGAAAGAATGTAATTGTTGTCAGGACCAGCAAGTGGCAGAACAAATAGTAGGCTCCATAGCAGTTTCCATAGGATGCTCACCTGGGGAATCCTCCTTCCACACTCTTACTCCAGAACTCCTAATGTGTTTTTCATTAAGATGTTATAGGATAAAATCCGTAAACCACACTGTAGGCATCATCCCAAACCTAGGAGTCCCTGGTTCCAGAGACTAACATGATAACTTCAGGGATAAATCATTGATTAAGTTTATCCAAGAGACCATTAATAAGTACTTTGATTACAATCTACAAGCACTTACACTATTAGAATTCTGCAACATGAAAAAAAAAAAGTACTTAAGCCAGGATCATCTACAAAGCTGAGTCAAGCTTGGAAAGAAATTGCACATTTTTAACCATGAGATAAACGGTCCATTGGAGCAGTTTATCGTGCACAATAGAGTATCTATTTTATTTGGCTTCATTAAATCAGATTAGATGGCTTGCTAAAAGCTTGACCTTTACACATTCTTTTACTGATACAATAAAAAGTCTGAAGCAATGGAAATGCATGCTTTGCCTTTCTGTAAGCAGTTCTGTGCCTAACTGCTCTGTCATTTGCTTTTTGGCTGTGGAACACAGTTTTGCAGAATTCATCTAAGTTTACATTCTTATACCTTTCTTTTTCTTTCTTTTGCTGGGAATTTGAGATGAAGATGCTTTGCTGCCAGCACCTCAGAATATCTCTATTATTTCTACCAACATGAAACATTTCTTAACTTGGAGTCCTGTGACCATCCGAGGAGAAACCGTGAGATACTCTGTTGAATTTCAGGGGTAACTTTCATCTGCCTTTTTTTTTCATCCCCCCTCTTTGAACTGTTTAGTTAGACGTGAAATCTTGCATTCCTCATGTCTTGAACACTGCTCAGCTCATAGGTCTAAGTAGTTAGATATTCCATCATTGTTAATCACAAATTGAAAAAACAAACACCTTCTGATGGAATTCCAGGTTCATTTGTGGTCATGCCTTAGCAATAGCTGATTGGTAGTAGATACGCAAATGATCCATTGTGTGCATTAAACCCACATAATGAGGGCTGCCTTTGCCCAAAGTACTCAAACTAAGAGCAATAGGTTACCAAGAGGAAGAGATTTATTCAGTGTTAATCTTTTAATCAGTTTACAGACATGAATATCTCCTAAGAAAATGTGGGAGGTTTGGGGTGCATCTTGAGCGATGACTTGGATCACAACATGGCTTCTTTGGGACTCTGGTTTACCAAAGACAACCAAGTCAGCTGAAGGGAGCAAGATCTGGTGCACCAGCCCTGGGTTGAATGTTCCTACTTCCCACAGTAACAGGCTGCATTTGGCTCATGGACAAGCCTGCTCAGGAGATCACCTCTAGATAATGTTTAGAGAGCAGCCATGCTGGTTTCGTATGCTCTTAGTATTTCAGCCCCACTTTATCCCTGTACTTGTTTAACTGGCAAGCAGTCATAGAGATATCCCTTATCACTATCTTCATTGTCTGCCTGCTCTTTTCCTCTCTGCAGGGAGTATGAACGGGAGTATGCCAACGAGAGCTGGATCCCCATCTGTGAGTGTTCGCTCATTACAGCCACAGTGTGTAACATCACAGAGGATATCTCAGCCACTGTTCCCTATAACCTGCGTGTGAGGGCAGACATTGGCACTCAAAGATCAGAGTGGGGCACCCTCAAAGTTTTCTTCAATCGCATCACAAGTAAGTCCTGCCATTTGAATGATGCTGCATCAGTTGAGTTCATCTGTCCCAGAGCTCTCTTGAGGCATTGCACATGTTTATCGCTGCAAGGTGCGCATGTGACTTCAAGACTATAAATGCACGGTGTGCCCTACACACACTATTTCTGTCATCCTCATGTTGAGTTGGCGTATTTCAGACTGCTTCACTCTGTTCTCAGATACAAGCTTCATCCTTCCACAAACTTCAAAAAAAGGTGGGAACACCCTAGGCACTTCTCTCAGCAAGTTGACTAGTCTTGCTCCTGATTCCGAGGACTCCTCATCAATTAGGATTGCTATGAATGCTCTAAGTCTCTTCTGAGGAAGAAATAAAAACCTCACATGACCCTGGGTCCAGGATTCCTTGGGAAACTCTAGAAAACAGTCACATCTTCCTCAGTCTGTCTCATGCTGTCCCCAAAATGTAGCTCCCTTCTTGAAATGATTCCCTCCTCTTATGTCATTGGCTATATGAAGTAACCTCAAAAGAAAGAGATAAGCCACCTCATTGCAGAAATCCTAACAATAGAGATTATACAACAACAAACACCTCTCCTGAGGTCACTGTTAGTGATTTGCAGATCTTAGTCTGGGAAGCAGTCATCAGTTTCAGCCAGCTGCATCGAAGGCCAAAGCAGACCCCATCTGAAACCCTCATGGGTCACTTGTAGTTACCTAGTGACTCATAAGCCACTATTTGGAGCTGAGGGAGTCTGATGTCTTGCCTCTTTCTCTGCAAGCATGGTCACTCTTTGCCTGCAAGTTACAGCATTGCTGAAGAACAAGCAGCAGATTGTGGAAGAACTTTCATATAGGACATGCCATTTTCCAACTGCTTGAAACCATCAACATCTTCAAAGAGTTGAATTGTAGCTTTGAGCAGTTCTCATCCTGGTCACCAAAAGAAAGCTGGTGGGTTGCATGTATGCGCAGTGTCCCAGCTCATCACTCAAGTTGTTTTCCAGCTTAGGCTCACAAGTCATTTCCTTCAGCTTGTGCCTTTGTTACCTCTGCTGTAGTCTGATCCTAACTCTACCTGGCAACCTGTGTTAAGTCAGCACTGAGGAAGATGCATGGCAAAGTGAGGCACCTTCTTTCCTGAATGAAATTTCAGTCTTCCCCTCACTTTGAGGGCAGGCTATCCAGAATCCACCTGCTTTAGGACTATAGCAAACTCAGACCCTCGCTGCTAGCTCCTAGATAGTTATTGCCAACATTCCCATGAAGGAGCAGTAGTTTTCACAGGCCCTAGTCCATGTCTTAGAGTAAGCTTATGCCTAGGAGCAGAGCTGCCTAATCCAGTGTCTCAGCTTCTGGTGGCCCAACTGGTTCTGCTGCAATAGGTCACATGGGGCTCATGGGCCAGACACCTTCCTCCACTGGAAGAAATTCAAAACCTCTCAAGTCTGTGCAACTCAACTATTGTCAAACATCACAGCACAATCATGGCGGTCCTCCTGTTCAGTACCTAGTGATTCTGAGAAGGCAGGGAAATTTCTGCCCTGGAGCAATCAACTGTTATCTCAGACCAATGTGCTTATGACAGTGAAAGGACAGTAACAGCAAGGACTTCCCTCCCTCTCCTAGCCAGGAAAAGGAAGATTTTTTCTTTTTAGAGTTGCCTCTGACATGACATGGTGTTTTCTATGTTGACAGCTTACCTGACCCCACCTCTGATGAAGATCATAGCAGATGGGTATCATTTACTAGTGGAGCTGGAAGACCTGGGGCCAGCCTTTCAGTTCCATGTTCTCTATTGGAGGAAGGGCCAGGAGAGTAGGGTGAGTTTTACCCTTGGGTTTTGGGTGAAGATGGAGACCCCACAGGACTTACAGTGAGACCACACAGACACTGTCCAGGGGCCATTTTCTATTCCATACTACAACAAGTGGGTCATGCCAGTCACTGCTACGTGAGGCTGGAGGACCTGCACAGAGTCAGTGTCTGCAGTATTCCTCTGTACTCACTGTTTTGTTCTTCTCATTCCTCTGGAGAAGTCTGTCTGCTCTTTCCATAATCTGTCTTCCTGGAAAGGGAATTCCACCAGGAACCTCAACAATTAAAATAAACCAAAAGAAAAATCACGGACTGAAGGCTTGCCTTCTTAACATCCTTTGGTTTACTTGGACCTAGAATTAAGGTGTCACATTGGAAGCACTACACAGGTTTCTCAGGAGTCTCTTGTAAAGTAGATCTGCCAAATGAACTTTAATGTGCTTAGCTGAGGGTTCTGATTATACCTGGGTAATAATGAAAACTGACAGGTGGCTTTCCATTCAGGTACTTATGTTTGTTAGCCACCAAGAACTCTTCTCTTGGGAGCATCATGTTTCCCTAGCACAAAAGGACCTAAAAATATAAACACGGCCATATCAAATCAGACCACAGGTTCATTCAGTCAAATGCTTTCTTTCTTACAGTGGCTAATAGAGATGATCAGGAAAGCAAATAAAAACAGGATCTGTATACAATCAATCTTAATTACTCAAGCTTCAGAGACATCTGCAGGGAATTCCTGATCCAAAACTGCTGCTTTAATGGTCTGGTTTTGAAGCCATGTAAACTTAGCACACCCAGATTCCTGTAGTGAGGAGTTTGACAGCTTAAATTCTTCTGAATGAAGATTCATGTGCCACAGTGAGGAAGTTACTCCTGTTCACTTTCCTCACCACAGCAATTCTTTTGTATTGACTGTTGACTTTCTCTTCCCAAGCTGAGCACTAGACTGTTGAGCTGTACCCTTCCTATACTTGCAGTTCTTCTTGCTATACTTCTATGCCTTTACAAATGTGGCAAGGGACTACACTCAAGCTCCTGTTCCTACTGAATGCTCCACTGATGCCCACTATCTGAAAGTGAGGAAGAAAAAAATCGTGGGAACATCATTTTGCATTTATCTGTGCTGAATCTCACTTATTTTATTGTATGGTCCTTCTGCAGTTATTCATAGTTAATGGGCCTCTGTGTCTTCACCTGTATTTTAACTAGCAGTTTAACCATGCAAAACGCTTACTTTTGTCAGGGAGCAGCAGGGTTGTTCCCTAAGGGTCAGAAAGCCAGGATCCAAGGTGGGAACCAGCACAAGCAATGCCCTCCTTAATGGGGTGCAGACCAACAAGGTCCAACCACAGCAGAGAGAATCAGAGGCTCCTAACAGGATCCATCGACCATTGCAGAGAAGGGAAGCAGTGAGGCAGGCCCCTCAGGCCCATGGGCAATGAGGGCCCATATAGAGAGCCCAGTCAGAAGCAAGAAGATTCAGGGGCAGGACCAAAGTCAGAGAACAACATACATGCCGGGGCTTATCCAGGAGACCATTTGTCTGCAACATAGATCCAAGGTCCATCAGGAAGGCAGTGCTGGAGACCAGCAGTCCTACAGCATAGCTCAGAAAAAGTCTAAGGCTCCTGGGCTGAGCTTAAATAGCGTCCCTGGGCCATGGGCAGGGTGGTGGTGGTAGTAGTGGGGCAGCCCAGGTGAGGCTGGTCAGGGCAATCACAGCCTGATCAGTGCACATGGGGCCTGATGCCTTCTTATCACATGGCTACTAACTTAACAGCCTTTGGAAGGGGCTTTTTTTTGTTTTGTTTTGTTTTGTTTTGTTTTGTTTTGTTTTGTATAGATCCAAGTAAACTGTATCGACCAGGTGTCTCCTGTCCATGTGCTCTAGAAGGAATCCTACTGACTTGTAACTGACTTCTTTTTACAAATGCCTATTACCTTTTTCTCAATATGTGATATTTATCCCCATTTATACACTGCTTATGGTGCACTGGAGCATACACAGTTGCACATGCCAGATTCTGAGAGGTGAGAGTGAGGGAATGTGTATTAAGGACATCATCCACATGAGAGAAGCTTCCTTATACTTCCTTCACAGTCTGTCAGGAACCAGATGTGTGAGGAAATCATAAATGAGGGACAGAGAAAATACACTGTGGGACATGGCTACATTGTACAGATGAACAGATGGAAAGGCTTCAAATACCTGCAACAGCAGGACACTGAGGGTGCAAAAATCTGACATGGTACTGAGATCTACTTGCTGCTCTCCCTTGCTCCTCTTTAGTCCATCCCTTTCCCTTTTTGTGCTGCAAAATTGCAGAAAGGCCTTAGCATCCCTAGAACAGCAGCACTAGTATCACGGGCAGGATACTGGCATCCCAACAGAAACTCTGATCCCAGCCCTTTCAGTAGGTAATGGTCCAATATTGTGGGCCAACACCATCATGAAGCCTCTTTGGTTCCTGTTTCTTTCTTTCCATCCCCTCCTGCCCTTCCAGACAAGGGTGGTCGCTTTGCTCTACTGTGCTTTTTTGCCCGCTGCTTTTCCTTTCTCTTCTGTTAACACAATCTGCCCTGACAGCTGCTGCTTCTATTACTTTCCTATCTTTTCTCCTAGAATGTCTAAGCTATTGTTAATGGTGAGACCCCTGTGCTCAATTAGCCTCTGAAGTTCAGATGCTCTTTCTCTTGAGCCTGTTGCAGATACAGCAGAAGATGGTAAAAGAGATCAGCTCCACACTTCACCTGGACACCATGGAGGCAGGAACTGAATATTGTGTAAAAGCTCAGACATATGTAGAGGCCATCAACAGAAGCAGCAACTTCAGCGAGATGCAGTGTGTGAGGGCACAAGGTAACAGCCACCTTTCCTTTCTGTTCTCCCAGAGCAGTCACACCCTAGCAGCTCAGTGATTTTCATTTTGTTTCCTCCTAATGTCTCCTGTCTTGTTTGCAAGTGTGTTGTCCCATTTGTTCCTTGAGGAAGGTAAAAAAGGTGCCCTGGCACTGATGTCCTTCCGTGGTGTGTGTGCAGTGAATGTCACCAGAGTTAGTGGGAAGAGTGGATCAGAGGGACCAGAGGGATCAGTCTGAGAGTACTGAGTGGTTTGTCCTCGCAGATTCTCTAAGAAGTTTTTCTCCTTGTCTCTAGGTGACAGATCCACGTGGCTTGTTACTGCCCTCATCTCCTCTGCCAGCTTTGCTGTGGTTGCTTTGACCCTTCCTTTCCTTGCCTGGAAAACAAGCAAAATCTTGAAGCAATTGAACACTGTGATCTGATGGTGCATGTGATGCCCTCAGAAGATGTTCTCCGACTGTGGATTCAAGAAACACTTTAGAGCAGATAAGGAAAAAAAAAAAAGGTACTGTGGAAACACATCTTCTAAACAGGCCTGGCAGATTGTGCCCCACCAGTTTTCCTCACAGTACCAATAAGGAATGTCTGTTTTCTTATGCTGAAAACTAGAGGTGTTGTGTATGAGCATGTGGTTTTGGTTGCTATTGTTCTCTTTGTAACATCCTCATCTATCAACAAAAGCGAGTAAAGACTACAGATACCAACTGCTAGTTTGTGCACTTTCCCTCCACATCCATAGTGATGGCAGACATGTTCTGAGTGTTGTCACTGGTAAAGATGAGTGTTAGGATCTTTTGTCCCTTGTCTGAGGACACATATCCTGAGCTTCCCCATGCATCCCAAAAGGGATGGATGACAGGAGGAAGGCTGGGGAGATGGGTATTTTTGTCCTGTCCACATTTAATTTCTGAGGTTTGGAACCTTGTGCCATCTCTTTGTTCTATTCACTGCCCCCCTGCCTCCTAACTCAGAACCTGCTGCTAGGGCTGCAGTCAAGAAGCCTCAGTCCTGGCCTGAGGTTCCGCACTTTGAAAAGGATGTGAAAAATTCCTGAACGTGACCTGAGACCTGGCTGGATGTGGCAGACAGCAGTGTAAGGTGCCAGTAGAAATTACAGACAACCTGGACAATGGCAGAATTTCATCAGTGCTTAAGGGGGAGCGATGTGAGACACTGTCAAACCTCGCAGATAGTTGCAGGGACCATTGAGGCCTTTGTGTAGAGCAGAGCCTTGCGGAGCAGCACTGGTTCTGCCATATGGGTCTGAGAGCACACAGGCAGCAATATCAGCAGTACCAGACTTGAGGTTGGATTTAGCAGAACTAGGACCAAGGGGTAAATATAATTAGGGGAGGAGAAGGGCAGAGAAAGGGATGCTTAAAAAAGGGGGAACGGGATAATTGTGTAGAGCAGAGCCTTGCGGAGCAGCACTGGTTCTGCCATATGGGTCTGAGAGCACACAGGCAGCAGTATCAGCAGTACCAGACTTGAGGTTGGATTTAGCAGAACTAGGACCAAGGGGTAAAGATAATTAGGGGAGGAGAAAGGCAGAGGGATGCTTAAAAAAGGGGAAACAGGATAAAGGAGTGTGCAAACCAGGTGGTCAGGGCTGCCAGGGCACCTGTGGCACAGTGGATAGTGGATCACTGGAGCTGAGGCAGGACAATAAACCAGACCTCGTGTTTTGACCACACTGCACAAGGTGATCTGCAGGGTGGGCAGTAGGCAGAGCATTGTCCGTGGCTAGCAGGCAAATGCCCGGGGCAGAAGGGTCAAGTGTCCCTGCATCAGTGCTGTTTCTGCTGACAGCATCATAGCTTTCCACGTACCCTAGCATCATCCTAATGTGTGAGGTCTGAAGAGAAGGAAAATTCTTGCCAAGTACAAGCAAGACACAGCTGTTCTGCATGTATAGCAATTCGTTTATCATTTGTGAGAACAGTCATTTAGCTCTGTGGAGAAGAAAGCAGTGTTAGCAGGACATAAAATGACATGAAAAGCTTTTTTTAAAGTGATTGGTGGCTCTAATGAAAGCGGACAGATATTTCCCTTACGGAATATGTCTTTTTAAAGAATTTCATTCTTGCAATCTTACCTCAGGCCACCAGATGTCAACAAAGCTCTGTGCAAAAAAAAAAAGAAAAAAAAAGAGAGAAAAGTTACTTTGGGCTCAGTTGGCCCCTCTGTGTTCTGCTCTGGACAAGGCAGTTCTCCATCACCCGTCCGATTACTGGGGAAGGGCTTATTGCAGATACTTGTACCATGCTGCTCCCGGACAAGGAGAGGACCTGGGAGAGAAGAGAAGATCCCTGTGCCTGGGCTGCCGTGACAAGTGCTGAGGTCTGGGGTGGGAAGCAGCTGGTGGAGAGCTGACCCTGGCAGCAGGCAGCGAGAGCCGTGGTGGGCGAGGAGGACGCAGCGCGGGAGCGCACTGCAGCCTGCCTCGCTGCTAATAAAAGGACTAACCTGTTGTATAGAGCTTCCAGGACCATGCTGGATACCAGAAACACCTGAAAAAAAATATCGTAAAGCAGGGAGATGGGAGAGAAGTGCTTACAGCCTGCTCACTGCTCAGCAAGACCTCATGCAATTAGCCTCAGGCTATTCCAGTTTGTGTCTTTGGAGGCTTGAGACCAAATTTGCGGTGCTGCCTGCATGTCCCTGGAAAGCTTTGGTGTTATATGTGCTGGGTTTGGTTAGGCTGGAGAAATTACAGAAGTAATTCCTATGCCATCTGTGTGTGGCATAGGCAGCGTCCTTACTCACTCCCTGTAGCCCATTTCCACAGGGGGAAGGAGTTAACTGTGCCTTAACAGCCATAGTGGCTGCCTTTGATAAGTGATTTTGCTCCCACTGTCGTGTTACCTCATTTTACAGAAGGACCACACAAGTAACTGCAGCAAAGGGCAACATGATCTGATGTGCCCTCTCTTTGCACCGATGTGGCAGTGAGTGCTGTTAGTTTCTGAGTGCACTTCATTGCTGTCCTCAGAAGGTGCTGTAAGACAATAAAATACTAACCTGCAGTGTGTTCAGCCATGTATAAGTTGGAGGTTGTGGTTCCTAAAAACGGTCTTTTCCTGCCAACTTTGTGGGAAAACAAGAGCAAAGTAAATACTGATAAGACCAGTTCTCAAAGAAAAACAATTCATTCTACTGAGTGCAGTCCAGCTTAAAGTTATTACACGAACATTTTAAAGCTTTTCATAATATTACTGAGTTGACAAAAAAAGGAAGAAATTCAGTTATCTTTTACATAACACTAACCAGGGAATATACCCTAATTTTTCCTGTGAGGTTTATTTCCTTTGAAGCATATTAGTGTTAGCTACTTTTTAGTACTATTGATGTTAATACAGACTCCAGCATTTTATTGTCCAAACAAAAATAGAAATCTTTAAATTGACTTTTTTTAAAAACTATTTTTTGCTGCATAATTGCTATATGATTTTGTCTCTTTAAAAGTTATATTTTTTTCTTACAAAATCTAAAAGTAGCCCAAATCACTACTTTGAATACAAATTAATTTCAATTTCCTGTGAATATGGTACTGCATCCTGCAAATAAGATGCTACAAAGATTATAAACTGCTAAAACACTTTGGATAACGATGTTTATTGTTGAACTAGTCAATATACAAAAGATTCTCATTGGTATTAAAATTCTACAAAACTGCCTAAGCAGAAAATTCTCAGTACAAGTAAGTTTTACTCTTCTTAATAATACAAAGCATTAAAAATATAGAAATGACTAGGGTAAGGTATAAAAGGAATTAGAAAATAGCAAGGGTAAGGGCTTACATTTTGAATAAGCTTAAATGAATATTGCAAATGGGGCCCTAATTTGGTTTCATTTTGTGTATGGGCTATAATTTAACTATTACTATAGAAATTGCTACTTCTGGGAAGTTTAATGCCATTGATTTGCTCAGGATCACAAGCAAACTTTCATTAACAGCCAAGGTCAGGCTTTCATTGCTCAGGCCAGCAGGCAGTTGCTCTCCTCCAAAAATGTCCTCTTCATCGCGACAACCTTCACTCCTGGAGTGAGCTTCAGTGGGCTGCTGGAGCTGGCTTTACAACTCTGCAGCACTGGAATAAAATAGAAAAATGTGGAAACCCCCAGTCTGAATTTGTCTGGCCTAAGATGTCAGTGGCTTCTCACAGTTCCCACGTTACATGGCTGCACATCAGAGCGAGCCTTGGGAGGAGACTGTTAAGCCACAGACCATCAACTGTCTGTGCAAGTCGGCTGAAGGTCTTGGGTTTTCATTTTCCCTTAGGACATGAACAAGATCTGAGTTGTTCTGAACCACAGACATCAACATTAGTCTTTATCTTCTACCAGATGTCTGAATACAGAGCATTGTCCTGACTGTCCAGCTTGGGATGGGCTTGCACACCATTCTCTGTTCTTTGGTATCAGGTCTTTGCCATTGCTACCACCAGCCATTTCTAACAGGACACCATGGCATCCTCACCTAGGCAAAGCCAAGCTTCAAGAGTGAGCCAGATGGCATCACATGGTGATGCTGGGACACTCAATCTGTCCAACTATCTAGGTATTTCCCTGCTAGCCAGGGAAAGGAGCTCTTACTAGGTTTTTTCCATTTCTTCACCCTACCTTTTAATACCCTTTTCTTCCCTTTTTCCATCCCAATTCCCTTTCACGTAAACAACACATCTAATTACCCTGTTTGTCCTTGTTTTGCTGTATCCATACATAAGTATGGTAGTTCTAACACCACTGCACGGATGATCTTGACCCTATATAGTGTTATAGGAATAGCTCCCTAGGTGCTGCTGCTCTTGCAGTGCTCTACTGCTCTTGCAGTGCTCTGCTCCACAAAAGGTCCCCAATGGACCTGAAACGGTATATGAAATTTGACTTTTTCTCAACTCACTCCCCTTTAAGTACCTGTGAAACACAGCCATCCCTCCTGGTGTTGGCACCTTACATTGCTATCTGTTGTGTCCAGCAAGTTCTCATGTTGTCTCCAGTAATTTTCTATGTTCTCCTTAATGAGCAGAACCTCAGGCCAGGGCCAACGTATCTGCCTGCAGCCATAACAACAGGGTTTCTGCTGGCCTCAGTGCTGGGAATTACATGACTGTAAAACTGCAGGAAAAACTGCATTCCCAACTCCCTCCCTGCTGGCCAAAGCTCAGGATGTGATGGGCACTGTGGAATAATGCCAGCGAGGAGACACTGTGAAGTGCAGCTCTCAGTTGCACAGGTCTAGCCAGACCTTTGCAGTAGCTATATGCTTCCTCAGCCTCTTCTGCCCCTCATGGGCATATTGTTAGTATTGGTCATGTACAAACTGAATGTATAAAAGTGGATTCATCAAGCATAGGAGAAATTTCTGAAAGGACAGCCCGGGTCATGAAGGTCCCCATCAGTGCAATATGTGGAAGACACCTTCAGTTCAAACCAACTGGACAAAGAGTAAGTAGTGTAATTCCTGCAGACTGAAATTCT